GACTGGCACAGGACAGAGCAGAGTTTAGGGCTGTTGTGCATAGGGTCGTTATGAGTCCCAAACGACTTGACGGCACATAACTACAACAACAATTGTATCCGTTTTCCTGGACAGGCCACCTTATTTCTATGCCTCGGATGAGTACAGGCCCATATTCTCTGGCTCTTTTTAAGCTCTGAAATGTTACAGTTTCTCATACTTCTTTCCACAGTGTTCAAAGCCTTTGGAATAAAACTTAAATCTAACACACATAAGATAATAAGTGTTGGGGCTTTGAAGTTACATTTTCTGTTTTATACAAACCAATTAACTGTGCAACTACTGCCTGTCTCATTCTCAAACTTGAATCCCAGAATAAACACTGACCATTAATGCAAGCATAAAGATACAGTTGACTAAGGAACATTCTTAATAATAGGTTTACTCTAAAACTCTAATTTTTAGGCTAGATAAAAATCAAATTTTAAAGATTTTGACTGGCGGAAACTAAATTAATGTACAATAGTAAGTAAAAAGGGGCTATTTACTAGATAACAATCATTTCAATTCTTTTATATATAAGGGACATAAGGTAAGCCCAGACTTAGAGTCCCTGGCACAATCTGAGATAGTTGAACAGACGTGAGATAATGGGACACTCTCACCTCTCTGGCTGCATGATTTCCCAAGACTGCAGCACCAAATTTGCCCTGTTTCATATATTGACCATTTATGCTGTGGAAGCAAGAAAAGCAAACAGATATTATAGGTATACATAATTATAATAGGTATACATAATTTCTTAAACTTTGCAGAACCAACTTTTTTTCCTGTCCTAAGTGGGGAACGTTAGTCACCCATGTTCCAGAAAGGGAAAGAAGTTTATCGTTTAAAGCTGTTAAACAATTCTTTTATTCTTTATCTAGAACTCAAGATATCTCAGTGGAAAGGCTGCACAATTTGCAAACTTTTCTAAAGGCTGTTACATGTACTTCCTAGAGGAGGAAGACAAGATCATACATAGTTCTTAGTTTTAGGTGGAGGAATTCCTAACTGAAATGCTATCAAATACTACAAATACTTTGTTCATGGAAAAGCTGAGTAACCATTCTGGAATGAAGAAAGCTTTCCTGAGGAAAGGCACTAGTTTAAAGCCCCACCCACCCCTCAAAAAACATTCCTACTTACTATCTATATGCGTGGACTGCTGTTGCAACCAGTACTGTGGAGGCGCCTGTGGCAGTTGGTGTAGTTTTCTGTGCAGCCTGATTTCCTGAAGATGAAAAAGAAAACAAAGTCACCATTCATTTATTGCTTATGATGGATTTTTAACCACTAAAGCAGCTTAAAAATGCCTTCTTTATACCTTAGATTGAATAGTGTCATACTTTCATGACCCTCATTTGATCTACAAAAAGTCCTATAGCTCATGAGGCTGAGGAAACTAAAGCTCTCATCATGCAAGTGCCTAGGAGTAGAACCCATGACTCCAATTCCCAAACCAGACACTGCAAAGGAAAGACCTTTGATCTAGACAATAATCATCGCTTGGAAAGTTGGGCCCTATTGCACGTATTTTCTTTCTCCTTTCAGTATTTTCACAGCTATACTATAAAAAAATTTAAAAAGCTATTTAAAAAATATATATAACTTTTATTTCTGGGATTGAAAATTTGTTTTCTGACATTCAAATTACACCCACCGTACAACTTTTTAAAGTAACTAACATTAATATTTTTGAACAATACATTTAGAATAAATCATACAGCTCCACTAATACATAACAACATTTGTGCTTTGTTAGGTTTTTAAAGAATTGTCTATTCATGTCATTTGCTTATTTATCCTAGTATTTGTTTATATTTTCCTTATTGCTTATAAAAACTTACAAGACTTTTTTTTTCAAGAGAAAGAAACTGAGGTTTATTAGATGTTCTTAACAGACTATGAATGGGTCAGGACAGACTGACTGGTTTTTATTACAAAAAGGTTTATATTATATCTTTTGTTAGCAGGGAGTGGGGTTTAAACAGCTGATTAGAGCATTTCTTCTAACGGACTATGGTGACTTTGGGCCATCTCCTTTAACTTTTCCTTGGGTTTGTTGTTTTGCCACATTCCTTGAGAGTCTCTTTTTATTGTCTTATAACCACATTCCTGGAGCATGGTTTCTATTGTTATATTGCCAGTCTTTGTCAAGACCAGTTCTGATTGCTCTCCTTTATCAACTTGTCCTTTGCCATTCAGTCATTCCTCCACCCCCACCACCCCACCTCCCCACCCCTCACAAGAGAGATTACATCCTAATTCATTAGGAAGGAGGGCATCACATTCTCTTAGCTACTTCCAGCTGGAAAAGGGCATTGTAGGTCCTAGGGTGAAGATCTTCTCTCACTATTCTAAAGGGTCCCTTAGGCAATAGGAAACCCGTAAACTATTGTGGAGATTGATTTTGGAATTTAGATGCACTGTTATCAATTACGTTTAGGGGTACAGGTTCATATCCTCGGAGGTGTATCATTTTAATATAGAACTGTTGTAGCCTAGAAGACACATATTTTGTTTTTTAATTTTTGTTTATTATTATTTTTTGTATGTATTGTCAAATCAGATCTGACTGGTACAGGAGGAGATTGTCCCTCCTTCTTCAGCAGAGCATCTGGTGGATTCGAACCGTGCACCTCTGGGGTTGCTGTGCAGGTTCTTGCCACTAGGCAACCAGAACTCGCCAGAAGACACAAATTTAACTAACAAGTTAAAAATACATGGGCTAAAAGTGAAAAACAATAATATTCTAACTAGAGGTGCTAACAGTGGCAGAAACCAAGTTATTAAGGAAAGACAGTTCTTAAAAGAAAAGGCTTATAATTAGGAATGTTTAGCACAGGAGCCCAAAGAAGGCTTTGTTTTTTGTACAAATGATTAGTAGTCCATTCTAGGTTATCTTTTTTCTTTTTAATTGATCATATAAGGAAGGGTTTGGCTAACTCTCGAAACTGAGGAATACCCAGTCACCCTTAAAAAGTACCTGGGAAGATAGGCTGAGTATTGTTTCAACACAACCTGGGGAGAGCTTTTTACTGTTATATGCCAAAATGAGTCTCAAGAAATTAACTTCAGGGAGGCAAATTTGGGCCTTTTCTTTGGACACTTTAAAATTTTCTTCACCTAAAAAGTTTAAGATGTTTCAAGTATCCTGAACTGAGGCCTCAAAGACTAGGCTACACACTAGTACCATGAAATAGGTAGAACTGGCTGGCACTTTGCCTTTTATAGCATTAGGGTTAGGAACCACAGGATGTAGAGGCACAATCATGTCATTTATTGTTCTTAAGCCCTGGACCAACTTCCACTTACCATTGGGTTGTTTTATAGCCAGGATAGGAGTGTTAAAAGGAGAAATCATTTCAGTAATTAGACCAGCTTCTTTGAATCGTCTAATTATAGGGGCCAGACTGTTTCAGCCTTCAGGAGATATTCTACATTGTCTCTGTTTTGGATAACTTACTCCAGGCTTAAGAGTTATTTTGATAGACTTTACATTCACTGCCTGAGTATAGGCAACCCAGAGGACCAAACCTTTGGGTCTAGATCTCTAAATTCTGGAGGTAACATTTCAAGAACTTCAGATTGAACAGAGGCTAGCCCTAATATCTTCATGGCTGGTGAAAATGAAACTTGGTCTTCACTTTAACCATAAGATCTCTCCTTAAGTGGGGCAAAGGAGTTGCAAGAATTACCAAAAACCGATGAGAAAACAGCCAGGAAGTCCACATGCAAGGCAGAGGGGGAGTAAAGAACTGCTTACAAGGTTTTCTGTCAATTCCAACAACTAAGAAATAGGAGAAGAGAGTGGACCTGAGAAGACTTATAGGACTGAATAAGAGGTTCCTGTGTCCAGGAGAAAACAGATAGATTTACCAGCAATGTCAATACACACCCACAGCTCTTTTGGGAGGATCTGAATTGTTGAAGCATTCTCCTTTGTCACCAGCTGGGAGCCAGGACTTCATCAATCCTCTGTGGATTCAGCCATAAGGACCCGATGTGGGCAGCCTTTGGCCAAGTGTCCTTCATATCCACGCTTAAAGCAAGTGAGTGGGGGCTTCCTCTCTACCCCCTTGCTTACCTGTGGTTCTCACCTGTAACACTCTACTAAAGTGGCCCAGCTTTCCACAACAGAAGCAATTCTGACTCCCTTTATTACCTTTGAGTGGCATTGACCATTTATTAATAAGACTTCCTTTTCCTGACACAGGCCCTAAATTGGCAGCAATAGCTGCCCCAATAATTTTGGCCATTGTCTGGTCTTTTCTCTCCCCCTCTAGATCCTGGTTGCTAAAGACAGTGACTACATGTTTTAAAAGTTCACTCAGGGGAGCTCTGATGGCCTAGTGGCAAGAAGCTGCACTGCAATCCCAGAGGTACATGGTTTGAATCCACCAGATCCTCTGCTAAAGAAGGAGGGCAATCTGTACCAGTCAGATCTGATTTGACAGTACACAAAAAATAATAAAATCATTTTAAAAGTTCATTCAGATCCCTTTGAGGCCCCACTGCCTTGAGTTGAAGCTTCCTTCTAATATCTGGGGCCACCTGATTTACAAAATAAGTATTTAGAATTACTCTGCCTTCAGGGCTTTCAGGATCTAAGTTTGTGAACTTCTTCATGGCTTCAACAAGTCTCTCCCTGAAGGCTGCTGGATTTTATTCTTTGTCCTGAGTAATTTGTTATCTTTGAATAGATGACTGGTTTAATCTGAATTTCTCTCATCCCTTCAAGCAAGCAAGTCTGCTTGTAATCCCGAGTACCTCATCCCTGATTTCCTGGTTGGCCTGGCTGGCAATTCCAGTCAGGATTTTGGCCTGGGATTGCAGCTGCCCCATCTACTAGCTGAGGATTATTGATATGAAACCTGTCTGCTCTATCCCTCACTGCTGCCAGTATTCTTGATTTTTCATCAGGAGAACAGCAGAAGGATGGGAGAACCATTAGGTTTTTCTATGTCATATCAAAGATAGAAATAATTTTCTGGAACTCATCAATAAATTTTCCTGGATCAGTAGAAAAAGATCCTAACTTCTCCTTGCAGTTTTGCAAATCACTCATGGAGAAGGGAACATGAACCTGCATAGTTTGCCCATTATTCCGTCCCACTTCCTGAAGAGGAAGCAAGGAAGGATATATTTGGGGGGGGGGTTTAGAACATTATATGGTAGTGGTGTCACCTCAGTTGAAGAAAAATATTCATTTAAAGACGTCTCTTTTCCCAGAGTCAATTTCAAGCTCTCTAGAGGGAGTTCTGCTGCTGGGGTAGTGACTCTTTAGGGTAGACAGGGCTTAGGGTCTACCTCAAGGCCATACTTTCTACATAAAGAGATTTGATCTCTTAAAGACATAAATGCCTGAACATAAGGTATTTCACTCCACTTCCCCTGACTTTTGCAAAACAAGTCTAATTGTAAAATGGTGTTATAGGTAAGCCTATCCCCCACTGGCCATCTTTCACAGTCCCCCGAAGGGAAGGTTGATCATAACCCACTGAAAAAGAAAATTAACTTCTTCTTTAGGGAGTTCAATTGGAGTTGGAGTTTCTGCCAATTTTCCAAGAGGTACTCGAAAGGAGTGACTTAGGCTTTAGAAGAAGGTTGTTTCATAGTTATCACAGTAGAAGAATCCTCGGTGGTCAGGAGTTTTTGAAAATTCTATCCTGGACTACGAGCCCCCAAAATGTCAAGGAGATGATTTCCAAAAGAGGTCCAGCGGTTTCTTTGAGTAAGAACTAGAAATTCTGACTCAGAAATACAAGAAAGACACCAATACCAAGTGAGAGCAAGAGAAAGAAAATAAGGTTTATTAGATGTTCATAACAGACTATGAATGGGTCAGGATAGACTGACCACAAGACATTTTTTTATATACTACTTCCAGGTTTAGGTAATACAATAAACCTTTTCTCTGGGTAAATAAGCCGTTTATAATAAGAAATAAGAAAATAAAAAGTAGCTAAAGCCAGAGTTATCAGGATAAATATGAACACTGAAAAAAATCACTGTCTTCCAAAGTCAGTCTTGCATCATCCTTCAAGTTAATGCAGCTTCTTCTATCAATATCAGCCCAAGACTTCCCTAATCTACAAACATGGGAGGTAACTCATTGACTTGCCAGAGAAGTGGTTGGGTCAAATGCCCACAATCATGTGAACTTCCTCTGACTTGGAATTTCTCCCTCTTTAAAATCAGTATTGTTCAAATTCTTCAATTTCCCATTCATGAAGACATTTTTCAGTATGTGATTTCATTGAAAATCATAGAGCTTAGAGATACATAAATCACTGAAGATAGGCTTGGACAGATTGATTGAGGTGAACCACTTCAACGGCTTTCAGAATTCTGCCTACCCTTCCAACTAACTTGTTAGAGAACAATCCTAATGCCAATAAACTTACCTGTTGTCTGACCTTTCCTAGGCTGCTTTGGGGCTGTATACTGGAAGAATTCATTTCCATGTCCAGCAGCTGCCTGATCCAGTCCAAAGAGAGAGGCCAATCTGGCACTATTAAGAGGAAAAGAAGAGTTGCTCAAGAAATTTCATGACATATCCCAAACCTGGAATAATTATAAAAGCTACTGACCTCTAATGATCAACAAATATTTGCTTAATTGTATACTCAATAGTGGTGATGCAGTGGTACTGGTAAGTTCAGAATTCTCTATCAATCTATCAGTTATGGAACTACAGTTATATAGTTATAAAACGGGCGTTAGTTTTCTCCAGTCTGCAAGGCTAGTTGCTTGACCTTAGAATTCTTAGTGTCCTTTCTTTAATCTGTTTATCTTACCCTAAAATAAAAGCCTGCTGACCTCTTCCAGTCTAGGAGGCAGTGTTTGAGGCTGACCGGTTGTCCTCCACAGATCTGTAATAAAGTGCTTACGGATATTGCAATTCGTTTGTCTTACCAGCAATTAGCTACGGAAAGAATGCCTTGAATTCAGTAACACTGGACATAGAATCTAAATGTCTTTGAAATCAAGACTTATTTCTGCTAAGAACTCCATGAGCTAGCCCTGATTCTCATAGGCCTTCAACCATGATATTTCTTCTATCTAGCCTTTAGTTTCTCTACATATAATTAGAGTGACTGTCCAAATACTCTCTACGGTCTCTTCAAATGAAATTCTTGCCTTTAGGATGTCTTAGTGATGTCTTAGTGAAAGGACCAGTTATCAGAAACTCAGTTTCTGGTAAAGTATAGTTAATCCCACCCCACCCACTTGAGTGTTTTTTTTAGCAAACAACCAACCCCCACCTGTGGTAAATCCCACCCTGATTGATCAACTGCCATAAAGTGGAATTCTTTTTAAGGGCACAAGGGATTTTTCCACATTCCTGTATCTGAAGTAACCAATAAGATTCAAATAGGTTTCCAAACTGTTTCCCTGAGCTATGGCTAGCCAATTGAAGGTGGACAAATACCCAAACCACTGTGGATGGCCAATCATAGCGTGTATGGTTGGGCAGGGGAGTAGCAGAGGTATAAAAGGAGGGGCAGACATCAATTCAGGGCTCTCGGCTGGATGCTGCTGTGCCAGCACACGGGAGCCCGGGTTCAAACTCGAAATATGTTAATTCAGCTAATTGGCTCGGTGATCTTTTTGGGGACTTGCTCCATTACATTTGGAGGCCCCAGCGAGATCTCCCTAAATTTATCAAAACCCTGATCACTGGCCAACGGAGTAACTGTGACGTCGCTGTAGGATTCTTCCTACCTGGTAAGTCAGGCCTGATAACTGGTTAATCTGTATTCTGTTTGGTGCACCCTGGTTTTGAATTGGACAGTTGGAATGCAGGACACTGCATAACTTCAAGTCCAAGACCCCGGCAGTGACAACTGCCAAGGTCCAGGTGTCTGAGGAAGTGGGGGCTCGCCTGGATTCAGCTTGTGTGGAAGTCTGGGTTCTCGGGTGGATGCTACTGGCACGCGAGAACCCAGGCAGGTTTGACCCGCAAGTTCGGAATTAGCTTGTGTGGAAGTCTGGGTTCTTGGGTGGATGCCACTGGCACGTGAGAACCCAGGTTTGACCCGCAAGTTTGGAATTAGCTTGTGTGGAAGTCTGGGTTCTCGGGTGGATGCCACCGGCACACGAGAGCCCAGGTTTGACCTGCAAGTTCAGAATTAGCTTGTGTGGAGGTCTGGATTCTCAGGTGGATGCCACTGGCATGCGAGAGTCCAGGTTTGACCTGCAAGTTCGGAATTAGCTTGAGCTAGTCTGGTGACCCGCAAGTTCGGAAGCCCAGGGGAGAGAAGCCCATGCCTCAGATGTTTGAAGGGTGGGAGGTGAGAGAAACCCACCCCTCTAACCAGGTCTGTCAGTCCAGACTCAGGTTCTGCCATGGTTTTTGTCAATAACAGTGTTCATTTGTCCGCTGATTGGGAGAGGCCATTCTTCGAATTCAGGTTTTGTCATGGTCTTTGTCGTAAACAGTGTTCTTTTGTCTGCTGGATGGGAGAGGCCCTTCTTTGGACTCAGGTTTTGTCGTGGTCTTTGTTGTCAACAGTGTCTCTTGCTATTTTTGTGAATTTGTGTTTGTCAATGGTC